AGGAAAAAAAAGGAGGAAGAGGGAATGGCCGGGTTAGACAGGACAAGCTTTGGCCGGAAAGGTTTTCAAAAAAAAAAAAAAAAAAAAAAAAAAAAACACTTGACGCGGGTGCTATTCAACTCTCATCTAGGATCAGATGATGATCCTACTCAAATATTTCTACATATGAATAAAAATAAATCGCGCGACATCTCTATATATTCAACATAAAAAAAAGCCTCCCTTCATATTTGTGTCTTGTCTGATAAGTCTAAGGGGCTTGTCGTTGACGCAGCAAAATAGAAAAAGAAAAAAAAACCCAGCTGGAGAAATCCCCCTTTCTGGGGTTAATCGCGGTGAAAAGGGAGGAGGGTTCAACCCCCCCTCTGTCTTTCAGACGCAAAGCGCTTTCATTCTGAATCCCCTCCAGGCGTCTGTAGAGCATCCCCCGTTTTCTTCTGCGGTACGATCACGATCATGTGTGCACGACAAGTTTGTCTCCCAACCCCTTTCTCAGCAAATGTGGAAATCAAAAGTTTGCAAAGATCCCCCCACTGATTCTATCAAACACAAACAGCTTCCTACGACAGTAAACATGAACGTGTCTCAAAAAGATGATTGATGATTTATAAACTCACATTTGCACATTCAAATAGAATTTTAATTTTAAACAGTTTGTTATTTTAAATCAGTTCACTAAATGTGTGGGCTAAAGTAGTCTGCGATCTATAATTTGAAACAATCCAGGCAAAAAGCTTGACAGCTTCTCCAAAATATCAACACGCGCAGTAAGGCAGCTGGCTGTCACGTATGGAACAGGTACAGGAACAGGAACGTACTTTAAGACTGCCGCCTGCTCGATAACCCGTCTGCGTTACTGTCGAAATATTCACTCAAGCTCTGAATTAACATGATTCTAATGGCAATGTGGAATAAAAAATAAAATAAATCCAGATAGGCCTTTGTAAGAGTAGCCAAGAGTTGTAATGTGTCATGTCTCCAACCTGTGCGCAGCGGCAGCAGCAGCAACTATATCAGCTGTAGACGCGGCGGCTCCGTGAGGCAGAAAACTAATTGTTGACATGACTGGGGTGGGGGGGGAACCCCACGGTGTCTGGATTAAATCTCCACTCCCGATGATGCCCCGTTGATGGGCAGCGTGGCTCCCGGTGGCGGCTATAGGTAGGAAGATAGACATACCTGTTACCCCATGGGGTCTGGGGTGGCCGCCGTGTCGGTCCTTCGGAGTCCAATCTGCTCTGACAGCCTGAGGGAAGAAAGCTGGGGATGTCCAACGCGCCGGGTGCCGTCCCTCCTCTTCTCTGTGCGCTTTTTGTTAAGTGTTATTCCCCGATTTCTCCAACTCCCCTCTCCTCTTCCTCCACCAGCCCCTTGTTCTTTCGCTCTTTCCCTCCCCTGCTTTTCCGTGTCTTGGTATCAGGAGCCTCCCCCTCCTCTCCCTCCTCCTCTCTCTCCTCCTCTGTGCATGTCTATCTCTCTCTTCCTTTCTCCCTGTCTCTCTCGATCTCACCCCCGAACACAAACACACATACACACACACACACTTTCTCTTAGAGTCAGGAAATGAGACAACGTAAACCCACACACCATGCGTAGACTGGGATATATCATTTCATCTCAGATAAGCTCTCATATCAGACCAGAATATGACACAACAGCAGCAATAATAATAATAATAATAATAATAATAATAATAGCAACTGAATCTTGAATGTCTTTTCCAATTTCTGCATCTGTTGCCATAGGACTCCTTAATGACCGGTTCTTTACTGTAACTTGCCCCCTCTTGTGGCAGTAATTGGAAAACACTTTCAATAGGAAAAAAAGCCTTACTCTTACAATGACAGTGGCTGGAAAACACCTCTTAGGCCATGTGATGTGCAACACACAAGCCAGTTTTATTTTAAATATTTGCCAGAAGTTCTGGGGTAATTCCACTTTGGCCTGACCCGTTCCTTTGAACGGGAGAAGGATTTTTTTTTTTTTCACTGTATGTTTCTATGTTTGGGGATTTGGCACATACGTAAGCGAGTCCTGTGTCACTTTTACACTTCCTGTTGTTATTGTTTGATATGAGGCTCTTCTCAGAGAGTTACAGTCAACATGAACCTAAATGATCACATTTCTAATGGTGGAGGTAAACAGATCAAACTCTTTCACTTAACTACAGCACTTCTTTCACATACACTCTATAATCACTTTCTTTCTTGGTTACACACATTGATAGTACTAGGTCCTATTCTGAACTGCCTTAATTCTTCATCTGTCTGTGAAGAAAATATCCTGTTTCACCACAACCCATATGGAGTATATTGAATTTACTCTCATGTTCAAGAAACCAGTTAGAGATGATTTGAGCAATGTGACGCCATGCATTATCCTGCTGGAAGTAGTCATCAGAAAAGGGGTACACTGTGGTCATAAAGACAAAGACAAGGTCAGTAATAATTCTTATTGAGGCTGTGGCATTTTAACGATACACAGTTGCTGCTAAGAGGTCCAAAGAGTGCCAAGACACTATGTCCCACACCATTACATCCCCACCACTAGCCTGAACCTCTGATAAAATGCCGAATGGACCCTCTGTGGAATTAACCACTTTGATGTTGCTTAATTCTTACCCTATTTTTTACACATCGCAGTTGAAATTGAGACTCAGTGAGCCAGACAGGATTTTTATATTCCTTATTGTGTGATTTTGTAAAGCTAATTTTGTAGTACTAATTCTAGCTATTAAAGGGATTCACAATAAGTTGAACATATTGGCCTAATTATGTTACTTTTCCTATTAACTATAGAAAATTGCTGTTTGTGAAAACTCACATTTACTTCAAAAAATGTATATTTTGGAGGTCGCCATTTTTTCATGCTTTCATTTTTTGAAAGCATGAAAAAAAATTGGTCCATTTTTTACTGGAATCTACAGAGTAAATACAGGAAGGTTAACTTTACCTCAGTTGTTTTATTATTATTATAGCTTTTCACTGGTGTAAATTTAGATAATGCCACACTGATAATGTGTCGCTGTTGGTTGTGATTTAAAAATAAAAAATAAAAGAGGGAAGTTTTCCCACATAAAAAAAAAATGGGAAAGAGCCCAACACAACTTCCGCAGAATCTACATTTTCTCTCAACATTTCTGTCCCGAAGACTCAATCATTAGTACAAGCGAAACTGATGAGAGCCTTCGCAAGCTAAAACCAAACGCTCTGCACGACAGTTTTTATTCTCAAGGCGCCAAATCCCGCTACCTGTGCTAGTGAGTGAAGACGCTTGGAGAAATACCAGACAGGCAGCGCTGGAACGATAAAGAAACGATATCTACTGCTGCTGGTAGTGAATGTGAAACGGTCCCGACACCAGATTGAAGACCGCACCGGACCCGGTCACAGACCTACAGAACTACTTACCAGCTCAAAAGGTCCAACCAGAGGTACGTGTCGTTCATTGTTTTATTCACGAAGCTGAAAGTGGCAACAGCAGCAAAACATCAGATTCTTCGCCCAACTCTCTCCGCTTCCTCCTTTTTTCCTCCTCATCTTCATTACTGCTTGTGATTTCTACATTCCCGTCGATTTAATTAAGTTACTCATTGCTGTTTTGACTGGACAAAGCTAGGGAAAACGGACAAACCATACCTCATTTACCCAGAATGCATTGCAGCATAAACAACATGGCGCCATCCATGTGTCTGTCTGCTGCTGTAGCCAATCTTCTTTAAGATTCAATGTGTTGTGTACTCAGAGAAAATATTCTGGAAAACCTGCTTATAATGAGTGACAAGAGCTGATAAGAAAATTGTAGCCGCCTTGAAAACAGTTCAATGAAAACACAATTCTGAAATCTTACTATAAAAATCAAAATTCGGACACAGTTTCACATCAAAATATTTACGAAGGAATTGCGAAAATTGTTGTACCAACCACATATAAATTAGTTTAAAAAATGTTTAAATTTGGCTGTGTAAAAGTTGTGGTATAAATTGCCACATTAATCAATTGAACAAACGTAATGTTACTAGTGTTTAGGTGTTAACAGAGTTGAGATCACATAATTCATCACAGCTCATAATTAATAGTTTTTTTCAGACTGTGCAAACTTTTAATTTACTTCTGAAGGCTAAAGCGGAGTTATAACAGCTTTAGTTGTAGGAGTTGGTTTGTGTCTCAGAGTCAGTGCATACAGTGAACTTGGTGTGTTAATGTGTTCAGTAATGAGGAACTGTGGACAGGCTTGTTTCTTGGGAAATAAGAATATATGGGCTGTAACCAGGAATCGTTGGAGGTTTGAGGAAGTGGGAAACATTTATGGGGAAGAAACCGGGTGGCACTTTAGAACATGTACTATGTGTGTCTCTGGTGCGTGTGAGTGTTTACTGTGTGTGTGTGTGTGGGGGGGAGAGACGGTGATGGGTAGACTAACACAGCAGGGGGTTGAGCTCTGCCTCTATTAGGCCGGGTTGTTGGCAGCCGAGGGGCAGATAACAGAGAGTGTCAGGCCATGTGGATTACGGCTGCCGGGCTGCAATGCCCCTCTCTCACTCATACACACACAAACCCACTTCCAAGCAGGGTCTGCAAACACAATCCCTTCCTGAAACAAGCTGCTTTACTCAAAGCTGTGGTCCCTTGTGCCAACAAGGCTTTCCAATCCGCCTGACACGAAAAGCACGACCCTAGTGCCTCCTCCTCCATGCCACTCCTCCCTGACTGTCGCGCTCTCCCACTCTGCCAGCTCAAGGATGGGTTTAGGCAACATTAGACCACTTACACATGTATTTTCCCCCAGGAACACTCATTGTAGAAATCCACACTGACTACCAGGGTGAGGAAAAAAAACAACTGGATTTTTGTATTAGAGTGCTTTTGGCCTGCGTGTGTATGGTGTTTAAGCTCAGGAGCAACATGTGGGTGCGGTGTGGGCCTATACTGGACAATTCTAGTTCGACATTTACCAACACTTTTCTGGAGCAAGAACAATTACGTGATTTACACTTGTTATCCTAGAGCCATTTCCCATTTCCTCCTGCTTTTTGAAATGCGTAAATTTACTTTTTTGGGTGAGGGAGGCTTGGCAGGTAGTGAGTAATTGTAAAGGTGCTGGTTTGATTCTGACTTCCTCCTTTACTATGTATCAATATGCCCTTAGGCAAGGCACTTAGCGCCAAGTTACCCATGGTTCTACATTCTGTGTATGAATGTATGTGTATGTTTGAGAGTACATAGACGTGAATGTGTCTCCAGTGTAAAGTGGTTTGAGTGGTGAGTATGACTGGAAACGTTACATTTAATAAGTGTCTGAGGAAGTGCTCACAATAAGGGACAGTACTACTGACAAAAAAACATATCTTTAAAAACATTTATGTGCTTGATAATTCTCATTAGGTTCAATTATTGCAGAAATATTAACAAATTAACATTATTCAATAAATGAGTTTTTATATCATGTATTTTAGTTTTAAGTTATTGCTGGCCTATTGGCTGTCATAAAAAAGCAGAATACATTTTTAGTACCTTTATGTGTTTCACATAAAACAAACTTGATTAAAAAAGAGCTTTGCCTTTGGCCTGATGTAACCAAAGGCCATAAAGTTACATTTGAAAGGTAAAATCCAAAATAGTGACTTCATATTGGCATTTAGTCCATTTTGTAGCACTATAGTCCCCATCAAATGTCAGTTCATGGTACTTCCAAGACAAACAGGTCAAATTTACATACAGCAATATGTAATAATAATAGCAATATATTATGAAATACATTAATCAAATTGTGAATGAAGTGACTTTGGTCACTCAAGGCCAGAATTGTTTAGTCTATCTGCAAAATGTGTGTTTTGTCAATAGGCTGCCAGAAATATGTGTTAATCTTAGTCCTTTGCGAAGGAGGTTCCTCAGTTTTTCTGACTATTAAAACACTTTTCCCCAAAAAAATGGCTGCTAAGTCATCAAGCACTTGGTTAGCGACTGATATTGAAATGTTTGTTAAAGAATGGCTCAAAAATGTTGTAACTTCACATTATGTTGGTCAATCCAGTGAGTGCTGTCAAATAATTTTCTTGCATGTTGGCACCGAGGAGTCACCAGCTGTAGTCAGTCATGTTCACGGACAGGAACTGAAAAGGCTCTTGGTAAGTTGACAGACATTTTGGAAATTTCGCTGAGTGAATAATTTGAGTGGGTGTCTGAATGTTTTTGGAGCTAATATGTAAACATTCAACCATATGCTCATTTCAGAAAATCATCAGCATAGAAAACTTTGTTTTATTTCTCACTAAAACATCATTTGCAGCTGTGGCTGAATTGTGCTTGCTTTGAGGGAGAGGGGTGATGGTGTCAGACTGGATTGTTGTCTTTTTTTTTTAAAGAATTCTCTTGTATTTGCTGTGTTTGCTTAAATTTGAATTTTAAGTAATGAAACAGGGCTGAAAGAAGTATAATGAACAGAAAATACGTTAAAAAAAAATAAAAAATGCTTTTTTAGTGAAAACTCCACAACAGTGGGAGGATCATTAA